CTTGAAGTTTGGCGGCATGGAAAATGACATAGTGAAGGTTTACCCAGTGTATATTTATATGGTTAGCTGCGAGTTTATTATATTAGCTGTAATAATAGAAATACTATAGGAGAAATAGAATTGGAGAAAAAAAGAATTGTGTCTCTCACGTATATTAATCATATATATATGTACATGTAGGAAAACCTAACCTATTACACAAGGTAACTAGAATAAATAATAATAATAATAATAATAATAATAATAATAATAATAATAATAATAATAATAATAATAATAATAATAATAATAATAATAATAATAATAATAATAATAATAATAATAATAATAATAATAGTAATAATAATAATAATAATAATAATAATAATAATAATAATAATAATAATAATAATAATAATAATAATAATAATAATAATAAATACGTATAATATATATGCACGCTAATACACCTCCGCAGTCGAAACGGGAAAGGAGAGGACGTGGAAACTGGAGACAAACTGTTGGAACAGTTGAGTAGGGAGTCCTTTCGTGAAGATATCGGCAAACTGGTAGGCGGATGGGACGTGAAGGACTCGAACGTGTCCCAAAGCAAATTTGTCTCGGATATAATGAATATCAATCTCCACATGTTTCGTACGAGAGTGTTGAATAGGATTGCTGGATAGGTTGACGGCACTGACGTTGTCACAATAGACAATGGTGGCTTTCGAAAGTGGGCAGAGCGACTCAGAAAGTAGATTGCGTAACCAAGTCGTTTCGGCGACGGCATTTGCGACAGCTCGATATTCAGCCTCCGCACTAGATCGAGAAGTAGTGACCTGTCGTTTGGAGGACCAAGAGATGATGTTGTTGCTGAGGAAAACACAATAGCTCGATGTCGAACGACGAGTGTCAGGGCAGCCACCCCAATCGGCGTCGGAGTAAGCGATAAGAGAGAGGTCCGGATTGGGGGAGAGGTGAAGGCCGTGATCGAGAGTGCCACAAATGTAGCGAAGGATACGCTTGAGGGCAGCCATATGAGGTTCCCTCGGATCATGCATGAAAAGGCATATTTGTTGCACAACATAGCAAATGTCGGGACGAGTAAACGTGAGGTATTGTAGTGCATCGGCAAGGCTGCGATAAAGAGTAGGGTCAGCAACGAGGGGTCAAGTGATCGAAGACAACTTGCTCTTTGTTGTTGGGGATCGTGCATGTATACGCATCGGAATTCAAAAATTTTTAGATCGAACTAGTTTCGATTACATGCATAAACTGATCACATAGTCAACGTACCTTAACGCTTCCGCCATACATATGGTAATTATCGATTTTATTAAAACATGTAAAACCGAAAATTATAAAACATGCTTGTTCATCATTCAATAAAATCGAAACACGTAATCACATATTACTCATGCTCATAAATTAAAATTCATACAAACATGATCTAATCAATCTACGAAAGTTTTGATTTAATTACCTCTTGTAGCGTGAGATTTCGACGAATCGAAACCTAGAACCAAACACGTACAAGCTGCTAATTACCAATCCTCGGGGTTACAACTCACGGCTAAAGTGCCTGCAAGAACCTTATGATATAGTTAGCGTACAGTACGATCCTTTCGCAGCACATGTCCCGATTGAACTAGAGGCATTGGTTCACCGAGACCTCTTATAAAGTTCAATAACCGTGCGAACGTTCTAGGTATTATAAATCCGTTCGTGTGCGACTTAGGGAAACATATTTCCCTAATCACCCCACTATCAACTCGGGCCAGAGATTCCTTGGATTATAAACCGTCAGAACACACAAGACATCCATGACTACTCAAGCGCTCGAATCCCCTACTACAATGCACAGACTTCACACTAGATTTTGGATTGCACGAACGTTGGCCCTTGGAGTGGTCCGTTGTGGGACTCAGGGATAGGTCACGATACAATCGGTCCTCTAGTGAAGTCACGGTGATGTCTGGGTCTTAAGGACTAATGGTGTACAACTATATTTTAGAAACCTATTACTCGATGAATGAGAACCACTTATAGATTTCTAGGGCGAGGGAGTTCAGTGAACTCATCCAGTATGAGCACCCACTCAAGTATGCCGATGTCACAACACCGAGGACTGATGAAACGCAGTACACATACACTAAGTGCTAGTCTCAAAAGGGAAAGACCGGTATCCTCATTATTGGCGTAACCCATCGACTAGGAACAAGGTTTAACAGTTACATTACATTGCTGAGTTATCTCACGATATTAATTACTAGATCAACTCACAGTAATAGAGTAACTCGTTAGGACTATATCTATACTGCTTGCATGGGATAAGAGATATAGAATGCCAAATGAAATATTTTATTATTACGAACGAAAAACGATTGTTTTATTACAAGGAAAAAGAGAAGGACCACAACCACAAGTTGGCTTGTTGGTCACCTACTCTAACATTTGTGTCAGCCGGCTTAAGACAAGGGTTGCAGGAAGCCATGTACGCACGCTCTAGTATCTCGTCGGCGTACTTGCGTTGAGAGAGAAATAGCCCATTCGACGAACGAGTAACTGAGATGCCGAGAAAGTAGTGAAGATCACCAAGATCCTTCATTGCGAACTCTTTATTAAGGGCGGTGATGATAGAGTGGAGCAATTCAGGTGTGGATGCCGTGAGCACAATGTCATCGACATACAGCAGAGGATAGGAGCATGAACTGTTGCGACAGTCGCGTGAACTGTTGCGACAATACACAAAAAGTGAAGTGTCGAACTTGCATTCTCTGAACCCCATGGTAGTAATGTGAGAGGCAAAACGCTTATACCAAGCACGTGGTGCCTGCTTGAGACCGTAGAGTGCTTTGTTGAGACGACACACGTGAGTGGGGCGAGATGGATCGACAAATCCGGGAGGTTGCTTGCAATAGACAGTTTCAGAGAGATTGCCATGTAAGAATGCATTTTTCACATCAAGCTGGTGGATTCGCCATGATCGTGAGAGAGCAATAGTGAGAACTGTTCAAACAGTGGCAGGTTTGACAACTGGGCTAAAGGTCTCGTCAAAATCGATGCCAGCCTGCTGGTGAAAACCGCGAACAACCCACCGTGCTTTGTATCGCTCAAGGGAGCCATCAGACTTGAGTTTCTGTTTGTATATCCACTAACCAGAAATAACATTAGTGAACGGGCGGCGGGGCACAACATTCTAAGTATTGTTTTTAATTAAAGTAGTATATTCCTCAATCATGGCGTTTTGCCAATTTTGGTCAAGAAGAGCTTGGCGGTAGTTGGTGGGAATGGAAGAGATAGAGGACACAACAAGAGAAAAGGGGATTTTGGGTTTGTGGATGCCCGCTTTACAGCGAGTTACCATAGGGTGAGCAGGAAGAGGTGGGGGAGTAGGAGAAGGAGATGTGGGAGTAGGAGAAGGGCTTGTGAGCTGGTCGTGGTCGAGAGGTGGTGCTGCAGGTGGAACAGGTGTTGGCTGTGTTATAGGACGGTTGGACGATCTGCTAGAACAGGGTGGTTCACTATTGAAACAGTTGGATGAACTGTTGCAACAGTTAGACGAAGTCTGAGGGATGAGGAACATGGAGGGTGTGTTTTCGTCCAAGGCAGAGGTAGGAAGTGTGTTTATGGGGGCAGTTGACTCAGCAAAAGGAAAGTGAGTTTCGTCGAAGGAAACATGACGAAAAATTATGATTCGGCCAGTGGATCTATCAAGGCAACGATAGCCTTTGTGAGAGGAAGGGTGACCGAGATAGACACAAGGAGTAGAACGGGGGGCGAGTTTATGTGGTGGCGGTGAGGTTGGGATAACAGAGACAACCGAATACTCGAAGATGAGAGTATGTAGGTTTGATGAGGTAAAGAGCTTCGTGAGGGGTCCGGTTTTGTGTGGTTTTGGTAGGTAAGATATTGAGTAGGTGGGTGGCCATATGAAGGGCTTCGACCCAATAAGTAGGAGGAAGATGAGCTTGAAAGATGAGGGAACGAATCATGTTGGTTATGGTGCGGATCATTCGTTCTGCGTGTCCGTTTTGAGGGGAGGTGTGGGGACACGAAAAACGATTTAGGATGCCGTGTTTAGTGAAGTAGTTTTGAAAATCCACATTTTTAATTCACGACCATTATCACTTTGTAAGGCTGGGGATGTTGGAATTGAGTTTTGAGAAGAGTATGAAAATTGACAAAGGTTGTAAAAACGTCAGATTTATTTCGGAGAGGAAAAGTCCATAAATAATGGGTAAAATCATCAACTAACACAAGATAGTAATTAAAACCCGTAAGACTAGAGACAGGAGAGGTCCATAAATCAGCATGAAAAATTTGAAATGGAGCAACAGTAGTAGATTTTTGAGAAAAAAATGATAGACGATTTTTGTAATGCCTAATTGACAGGCATTACAAAGAGATTCCCTAGGGTCTTTATTATGTGAAAGAAAAGTGCTAGAAAATAAACGGGACATGACGTGTTTGCTGGGATGGCCTAGACGACGATGCCAAAGAGTGTGAGACGAAGGTGTTGCGACAGTGAGTAAAGCAGCGGGAGGTGAGGTGGGAGGAGGGACGCCAAATGGATATAGGTCACTGGAGCTATTGCACCTGAAAATCTCGACTCGACTCCGAAGATCCTTCACAGAAAAACCAAACGGGTCAAATTCAACCGAACATGAGTTATCGCGGGTGAACTTTCGAACAAAGATAAGGTGTTTGATGATATTGGGTGTGACATAAACATTTGTGAGGCGAAAGTGAGTGGTGGGAAGAATTGTGTGGCCTATGTGAGTGATGGGGAGGGTGGAACCATTACCGACGACGACATGTTAGGGGAAATTACTGCTAGGATTACAAACAAAATTGAAATTACCTGAGTGTGGTGCCATATGAGAGGTCGCCCCGCTGTCCATGAACCACTGTGACTCGGTAGGCTGCTGAAGTGTCACCGTATTCAAACGGTTTGCGAGATCCACTACGTTGGAACTGTTGCAATTGTTGATGGAACTGTTAGAGTTGTGGCATGGCTGCTGGAGCGGATGAACCTGAGTAGGGGCCGAGTGGCCGGTGTAGGGTTCAGGTGGTCCAGTAAAGTATGCTTGAGCCGCTGGAGTGGATGGGTGGCCCGATGTATTTGGAGCGGACCCCAGAATTGACGGTTGTCGGTAAGGTGCGCGCCAGAGTTGAGATGCGCCATGAGCACTATGGTAGCCGTAGTGCTGCATGGGGTGATGGTTAGTGTTGCAACCTCCGCGACGGTTGGATCGGCCACCCCCGCGCTGAGAGCGCGAAGAACCTCCTCCGCATGAACTGTTGTAGGAACCGTTGCAACTATTGGATGGAGAATTCGCGTTGGAGGCATAGAAAACAGTAGCGGTCTGCTCCGGTTCAGTAAGTCATGTTTCTTTCATCTAAAGAAGCGATCGAGTCTGTAGAAAAGTGGGGAGGGGATTCTGAAAGGAAATGAGATTGGCGACGGTCCTGTAATTTTTCGGAAGGCCGTGTAGGGTTTGAAGGACGAGTTGTTTGTCGTAGATTGGATTTCCGACATCGGCCAAGCTGTCCGCCGTGGTTTTGATTATTTGGCAATAATCATGAATGGAGAGAGTGCCTTTCTTGAGGGACTTGAATTTTTCTTCAAGTTGAATGGCCCGATAATCTTTATTATCGGTGAAGAGAGAAGAGATTGCGGTCCATAGATCACTGGCGGTGGAGGTCATTGAGAGAACCATGCTGGACAAATCATCGGAAATGGTGCCGTAGATCTAAGATTAGAGGAGATAGTCGGTGCGTTGCCATTCATCGGCGGAGATAGAATCCGGTCGGGATTTTCCATGGAGAAGATCGGAGAGGAAGAAACGACCAACGGTAATTGTGAAAAAGGGGCTCCACTTTTGATAGTTGGGATTTTTCATATCTAGAGTAACGGGGATAAGGGATTTGATATTGGAGATGACATGAGCAAGGTGGAAATGATTGAGAGGGGCGGTGGAGGGAGAAGAAGCGTCGCCGGCCATGGAGAAGAAGGGGGGGGGGGGGGGGGGGGACCACTTAAACAAAGATGGGGGGGGGGACCGCCAAGTTAACCCAGGGGCTGAAACCCTATAGGAAAAAAAAAATTGTTGTGAGAAAAAGAGAGAATTGGTGCCCCCCTCCACACCATAATTAATCCATATATATTAGGGACAAGTGGGGGGGAAACCCCCTACCTTTTCCCCAGGGGACTTGGAAAAATAATAATAATAATAATAGGTCCCTTTAATATTTTTGCCCCCCAAAAAAAACTTCTCCCAAAATTGGCCCCCCCCCAATCCCGGGGCTTGGGGGGACAACTGACAACCTCCCCCTTTTGGGGGGGTAAAGAAAAAAGTTTCCAAAGATTGAAAAATTAAGGGGAAAAAGATTGG